TCCTGGAAGTGTAGCCAGTGTAATAAGTCAAGATAGGGCAATAAAAGATGTAAAGATCGGTAAGAAAGAAGAAAAATTGATATTTGCGGAATACATGATTGTATACATAGAAAATCTAGAGAGATCAACAAACAGAATAAATGAGTGAATCTATCAAGCACTGTAGACCAAAAAATGTTCGTCTATATGTTAGTCACAATTCGGAAATGAAATACAAAATCGATACCATATACAAAAGCAGCAAAATACATCACATATCTAGGAATGTTATATGCTACTGACTACAATTTGGGGAGCTGACAGGCCATAGCTGAAAGTGCTAACAGAGTCATAAGACATTAAGGAATGATAAGGTCCAAGATTTCGGAAAGGCAGAATGAGAGTTCCCAAATCCAGTGGAGCCACAGGTCAGCGTTGAATTGGGGGCCTAGAAGATGAACAAAAATCCAGGAAAATCAGGAATAACAAAAACCCCTGAGCCTAGAATGACCTTTAGCTCTTGCAACTTGCTTTTCTGGAATCATTTGGTCTGTGGGGGGATCTTCTGGCTTTAAGGGTCAGAGGTGATGCCACAGATAGCAGCAGCTTTTTATTTGCCACAAGATATCACTTGCCTGTCCCTTCCAACACTCTGCCTTACACAAATCTGATAGTGTAAGCTGAAAGACAGAAATGCTGCCCAGGGTGGACACAGGTATTTCTCACTTCCTTTCCATAATACTCAACATGGGGAATTTTTTTTTTTTTTTTTTTGCAACAGGGCCTCACTCTGTCGCCCAGGCTGCAGTGCAGTGGTGCCATCTCGGCTCACTGCAACCTGCACCTCCTGGGCTCAAGCCATCCTCCCACCTTAGCCTCCTGAGTAGCTGAAACCACAGGAATATGCCACCATGCCTGGCTAATTTTTGTATTTTTTGTAGAGGTAGAGTTCCTCCATGTTGCCCAGGCTGGTCTTGAACTCCTGAGTTCAAGCGATCTGCCCACCTCAGCCTACCAAAGTGAGGGATTACAGGTGCCAGCCACCACACGCAGCCAAGTTTAATATTTAAAAAAATACTGTGTGGGCCATGGAATGCATCATAGGCACATTAGTCCTATAGACATGGTTTACACGTAGTGCATTCATAGGAGACTGTTACTTATTCATTCAAATAATATTCTTTCAAATAATATCGTTATGAATCAGACAACATATCCTGCTTTTAAAATAATCTAAAAGCCCTCCACATTCTGCCTCTCCCTCTGCCCTGGACTGCCCTGACCTCATTTTGTGCTCCTTACCTGTGTCTCATTCCACTCCAGTGGCACAGACCTCAGTGTTCCTCACACTTTGCCAGCCATGCTCCACCTCAGGGCTTATGCTCCTGCTCTCCCCTCTTTCTGAAATGCTTTCGCCTCTGATATTCACTTGGCTCACTCCTTCAAAAATCACCTTCTCAATGATGGCTTTGCTAAAAATAAAATCCAGCATTTTAACCTTGAGCTGGGACTCTCTATCCCTACCTCACTCCCTCTGCTTTGTTTCTGTCCCATAGTACTTTCTGTCTTTGGACACACTGTACACTTCACTTGTTTATTATCTGTCTCTTCTGTAAGAATGCAGATTAATGAGCACAGGGAATTTTCTTCTGTTTTGTTCACCGATATTATCTCCAGTGCCTAGAACTGTGCCTGGACATAGGAGACAATAAATATTTGTTGGATGGACAGATGGATGGATGGACAGACGGGCGGACAGATGGATGGATGGATGAATAGATAGATTTAAAAAAATGAAGAAACACATAGATAAGAAAAGAAAAAAATAGATTTCATACATGAAGGTAAGAGGTGAGTGCTAGAAAAGAAGGGATTGAAAATGCCAGGAAAAGCAACCCAAGCACTCACCAACGCATGAATGCATCAGTGAAATGTGGTATAAACATGCAATAGAATACGATTCAGCCTTAAAAAGAAAGGAAAACCTGTCACATGCTACAACATGGAAGAACCTTGAGGACATTATGCTAAGTGAAATAAGGTAGTCACAAAAAGAAAAATACTGTATCATTCCACTTACATGAGGAATCTAAAATAGCCAAATTCATAGAAACAAAAAGTGGAATGGTGGTTTCCAGTGGTGAGGGTAAGGGGGAGATGGGGAGTTGTTTAATGGACGTAGAGTTTCTGTTTTGCAAGATGAATACGTTCTGGAGATCTGTTGCATGACAATGTGAATATCCTTAACACTACTGGTCTGTACACTGAAAAATGGTTACCATGATTTTTTAAAAACAGAGGGGCTCAGAAGAGAATAAGAGTATCCAGAGGAGGGATCATTGGAACTGTGAATTGGAGAGTGGATACCATTTGGATATTCCAGGGTGGTGGAAAAACTCATAGCCAAGTCATATGCAAAGAAGTTGGTGGGAACAGGGACCACTAATGTGGAGAGAGGACATGGCCAGGGAAGTGCAAGTATGGCCAGGGTGGTGGGCATGGGGCTGCTTGCCTGAGACAAGTGTGGAGACAGAGAAGTAAGCAGAGACTTGGGCCCTTATTGTTGTTTTGCTGCTACAGAAGCTAACACCATGGCTGGCACAACATAGGTGTTCGGTAAATATTTGTTCAACAATAATCTGGACACAGGAACACAGTGGTTTGTAAGTAAAGAGCAACCAATAAATATTTAATTATAATATCACAGAGTTCGTCTTGTAAATGCTATCTAAAATAAAATAGTTAAAAGTTGTTTTCATTATATCAGTAGTAGTCTTTCAACATTAGGAAATCTTTCAAGATATTCAGTTAAGTTCTAAAACTATAGCATTGTTATTTTCAGCAGACTTATAGTAATACAGTTTGTTATTAAAAAGTTAGTTTTTTGTTTTTTGTTTTGTGTTTTCAGACGGAGTTTCGTTCTTGTCGCCCAGACTGGAGTGCAGTGGCATGACCTCAGCTCATTACAACCTGGGCCTCCTGGGTTCAAGTGATTCTCCTGCCTCAGGCTCTGGAGTAGCTGGAATTACAGGCACCTACCACCACACCCAGCTAATTTTTTTATTTGTAGTAGAGATGGGGTTTCTCCATGTTGGCCAGGCTGGTCTTGAACTCCTGACCTCAGGCGATCCGCCCTCCTCACCGCTCCACCCTCCTCAGCCTCCCAAAGTGCTGGGATTACACGCATGAGCCACCACGCCCAGCCAGAAAGTTAGTATTTTAAGAAAAATCTATGGCATTAAAAAATCGTGATTCTACAGAGCCATTATATGTTTTCTATATCATCTTTAAAAAAGTCAGGATATAATATTTCGTTACAAAAATGGTTTGATCTTTCAATGGATCTGTGATTTCTCAGTAAACTATATTCCTACTGTTCTTTAAAGAATAAAATTTCTTAGTAATAGGAAAAGAGGTGGCTGGGCACAGTGACTCACGCCTGTAATCTCAGCACTTTGTGGGGCCAGGCAGAAGGATCACTTGAGGCCAGGAGTTCAAGACTGGCGTGGGCGACATGGCTAGACCCCATCTCTACAAAAGACTTTTTAAAAATAAATTAAAAATTAAATTTTTTTAGTTAAAACATAGTTTTAAAAAATCTATTCAAAATCTCTGATATGACTTACCCCATTTTTCTGTTTATAAAATCCTAGAGGTCATGGTATTTCTATGAATATTAGAATGTTACTACTGGTCTAATCCACCTGCTCCTTGGAATATGCCATGGTTTTGTACATCTCTAAGCCTTTATACATGTTACTTCCTTTATCTAGAATGCATTTCCCAAACTAGTTTTCCTGTCTCTAACATGGAGATAATAATAGCGTCACCTTCCTCAAATGGTGGTTGTGATGATTACATGACTTCTAAGCATTTGTTAGGTAAAGTATTTAGGAGAAGGTTTGACATATGATGAGCATCAATAAGTGTCAGTTATTACTATCATCTTTCAAGACTTTGTTCAAACGCCACTTGTTTTGTAATTTGTGCTATCTCCCATAAATCTTTTGAACATGTCTTTACTGAAGTTCTTATCCCTTAATATTATTGTTTTGTTATATATTTATCTACCTTGCTGGGCCATGTGTTATGCAAAGGCAAGGCATGTGCCTCATGCTTCTTTAGATTCAAGGCACCTAGAAGATGTTAGGGACGTAGTGGGCATGTACTGAATGATTGCCGAGTGAATGGAAGACTTAGTAGGAATGATAAAGACACTGATGAATCAAAACAAGTATGAGTAATGTTTACTACTTCATTAAACTGGCGTTTTTCTAATTCGACAAGAAAATTCTAGACTAATTGTTTTAATTAACTATAATTATTCTTTTTCTTTATCTTCATGCAAATCTAGGTGTTTTTTTAAGAGAAGGCTCAAAATCTCTTCCATCTATAATGTTCGTTTCTCTGTGTTCTGAATAAAAATAATTGCTATAGTAGAAACTTCACGAAATAAATACCTGATGAACCTTATACCTCTTCAGTTTGTTATGTTAGGGTCTTCTGACTGAATAATTTACAGCTGCTTTTGTTGGTCTTTTCTCAGTCAAAAATCTTAAATGTTTGCATCCTGGCCAATACAGAATCAACACAGTGCTAGAGTACTAGAGCTAGATTATGGTGCTACCTAGTGGTCAGTTTTTGGCACATACGTCATTGAAACTGTCTTATGCTTTTGTACGTTTTCATTTTGTTTTTTTATATTGACAATTGTAAAATGTCATTAGAAATCACTAAAGATCGGCCAGGCATGGTGGCTCACACCTGTAATCCCAGCACTCTGGGAGGCCGAGGTGGGCGGATCACGAGGTTAAGAGATAGAGACCATCCTGGCCAACATGGTGAAACCCCGTCTCTACTGAAAATACAAAAAATTAGCTAGGCATGGTGGTGCATGCCTGTAGTCCCAGCTACTCAGGAGACTGAGGCAGGAGAATGGTTTGAACACGGGAGCTGGAGGTTGCAGTGAGCTGAGATCGTGCCACTGCACTCCAGCCTGGGCGACAAGAGGGAAACTCTATCTCAAAAAAAAACAAACAAAAAACAAACAAACAAAAAAAAAACAGAAAAGAAATCAGTGAAGATCTTGCGCTCTTCTCTCTAGTATCTTTAGCAACTGTTCTATGAGTCATTTCTCTTCCATTCACCTAGTTTGCATCTCTTCAGCGAATAGAGAATTTAAAGACATACTTGAAGACCTGTTATCAAGCTGCCAGATACCCTTTTCTCCCACAGGAAACAGGAACTTTTATAGGCAGAATTCATGACACCAGCTTCTTCGGGCCATGCTACCTACCACACGCCCCCTCTGACTCCAGGCAGGTCTCAAAGGCTGCCCATGACAAAGGCACGCCCCTTTGCACACATTCTTCTAAACAATCATTCCCTTTTCCCTCTTTTGAAACCAAACAATTCCTTCAAAAACACAGTTTCAGGCATAAAATAGGAAATAGTACTAAACAAACGGAAATATTTTGCTTTAAATACTGAAGCCATTTGTTGACATTAAGAAATAGTTTGCATTCAAAGCCCATAAATGAAAAGAAACATGATTCATCCATCACAAGGGGACTTTATAGATAAGAAATAAGCTCCGGCCTGAACAATTGTCTGAAGTATGAACACTCTTCTCTGGGAGCTTTTGCTGAGTCATTTTTCAGGAAGTGGGCTGTCCAGGGAAATTTCTATGGGAGGAACAATCGACAATATTTTCATATTAATAACCTCCAGTTGCTTTATTGTTCTCGAAACTTTTGTTAATGAGTATTTTCCTGTTCAGTGAAAAAAACATTAATCAAAAGACAAAGCCTAATCTGATTTATTTGTATGTGTTTGGGGTTCTTTTCTTCTGTAAGCGATGTTAAATATATTTAAGTAGGAGTTAGCTAATTGCAAATCTAATTGTCTTCATTAACTGAGTATAACCTCAGGAAATATTTTGTTCTGAACTTTATTTTTAAATATATGTGCAATAACAGGTTTTGGAGGGATTGCAAATACAGGCTGATACAGTTTGGATGTTTGTCCCCACCCAAATCTCAGGTGGAAATGTAATCCCCAGTGTTCAAGGTGGGGCCTGGTGGGAGGTGTTTGGGTCATGGGGACAGATCTCTCATGGCCTGGTGCTGTTCTCACCATAGTGAGTAAGTTCTGATGAGATCTGGTTTTGTAAAAGTGTGTGGCACCTCCTGGACTTGCTCCTGCTCCCACCCTGTGTGATGCCTTCTTCCCCGTCACCTTCTGATTGCAAGCGTCCTGAGGCCTCCCAACAAGCTGAGCAGATGTCCCGCCATGCTGTCATGCTTCCTGTACAGCCTGCAAAACCATGAGCCAATTAAACTTCTGTATGCATTACCCAGCCTTGGTATTTATTTTATTTTACTTTATTTTATTTCATTTTATTTCATTTCATTTCATTTCATTTCATTGAGACGGAGTCTCACTCAGCCACCCAGGCTGGAGTGCAGTGGCATGATCTCAGTTCACTGCAACTCCACCTTTCAGGTTCAGGCAATTCTTGTGCCTCAGACTCCCAAGTAGCTGAAATTACAGGCACCTGCCACCATGCCCAGCAAATTTTTATATTTTTAGTAGAGATGGGGTTTTGCACTGTTGGCCAGACTGGTCTCAAACTCCTGACCTCAAGTGATCTGCCTGTCTTGGATTTCGGGTTCCTTCCTTCCTTCCTTCCTTCCTTCCTTCCTTCCTTCCTTCTTTCCTTCTTTCCTTCTTTCCTTCTTTCCTTCTTTCTTTCTTTCTTTCTTTCTTTTCTTTCTTTTCTTTCTTTCTTTCTTTTTCTTTCTTTCTTTCGGCACAATCTTGCACTGTCACCCAGTCTGGAGTGCAGTGAGGCAATCTCGGCTTACCGCAACCTCTACCTCCCGGGTTCAAACAATTCTGCCTTAGCCTCCCAAGTAGCTGGGATTACAGGCACCCGCCACCATGCCCAGCTAATTTTTTGTATTTTTAGTAGGACAGGGTTTTACTATGTTGGCCAGGCTGGTCTTGAACTCCCGACCTCATGATTCGCCTGCTTCAGCCTCCCAAAGTGCTGGGATTACAGGCATGAGCCACCATGACCAGCCTCAGGTATTTCTTTATAGCAACACAAGAACAGCCTAACAGACAGGCATACCTTGCTTTATTGCACTTCACAAACATTGCATTTTTTTAAATAAATTGAAGGTTATGGCAACCCTGTGTCAAGCAAGTATACTGGCACATTTTTCCAACATCATGTGCTCACTTAGCATCTCTGCATAACATTTTGGTAAATCTTGCAATATTTCAAACTTTTTCATTATTATAATATTTTCTGTGGTTATCTGTAATCCATGATCTTTGATGTTACTATTGTGATTGTTCTGTGATGTCACAAACTGCATCAAACTTAATCAGTAAATGTTGTGCGTGTTCTGACTGCTCCAACTACCAGTTGAGTTCCCCATCTCTCTTCCTCTCTGTGAGTCTCCTTATTCCCTGAGACACACAATATTGAAATTAGGCCAATTAGTAACCCTACAATGGTCTGCCTCTAAGTGCTCAAGTGAAAGGAAGAGTCACATATCTCTCTTTTTAACTCAAAAACTAGAAATGATTAAGCTTAGTGAGGAAGGCATGTCAAAAGCCGAGACAGGCTGAAAGCTAAGCCTCTTGTGCCAAACAGCCAAGTTGTGAATGCAGAGGAAAAGTTCCAGGGAACCCATGAGTGATAAAGAAACAACCTTATGGCTACCATGGAGAAAATTTTAGTGCTCTGAATAGAAGATCGAATCAGCCATGACATTCCCTTAAAACCAAAGCCTAATCCAAAATAAGGCCCTAACTCTCTTCAATTCTGTGAAGGCTGAGAGGGGTGAGCAGAAGAAAAGTTAGAAGCTGGTAGAGGTTGGTTCATGAAGTTTAAGGAAAGAAGTTGTCTTCACAGCAGAAAAGTGCAAGGTGAAGCAGCAAGTGCTGATGGAGAAGCTGTAGTTAGTAAATAACTTAACCAGAAGATCCAGCTAAGATAATTGATGAAGGCACCTACACTAAACAACAAATTTTCAACGTAGATGAAAAATGTTCAACCTTTTACTGAAAGAAGATGCCATCTAGGACTTTCATGGCTACAGCAGTGAGGTCAATACCTGGCTTCAAAGTATCAAAAGATAGCCTGACTCTCTTATTAGGGGCTAATGCAGTTGACGACTTTAAGTTGAAGCAGTGTTCACTGATCATTCCCAAAACCCCACAGTCCTTAAGAATTATGCTAAATCTTCTTTGCCTGTACTCTAGAAATTGACAACAAAGCCTGGATGACAACACATTTGTTTGCAGCATGATTTACTGAATATTTCAAATTCACTGTTGAGACCTACTGCTCAGGAAAAAAGATTCCTTTCCAAATATTACTAATCATTGACAATACAACCAGTCACCCAAGAGCTCTGATGGAAATGTACAAGGAGATGAATGTTATTTTCATGCCTGCTGACACAACATCCATTCTGCAGCCCATAAATCAAGGAATAATTTCGACTTTCAAGTCATTTCATTTAAGAAATACATTTTATAAGGCTGTAGCTAACATAGATAGCAGGTCTTCTAATGAATGTGGGCAAAGTCAGCTGAAAGCATTCTGGCAAGGATTCACCATTCTACATGTCATTAAGATTTGTTTGGAGGAAGTCAAAATATCAACATTAACAGGAGTTTGGAAGAAGTTGATTCCAACCCTCATGGATGAGTTGGAGGGGTTCAAGGCTTCAAGAATTCAAGAACTTTGGATTCGAGTTCCCTTCAAGGTAGGGGTAAAGTTTCCATTTCATGGTTTGGAGGAACTAACTGTTGATGTGGTGGAAATAGCAAGAGAACTGGAAGTGCACCCTGAAGATGTGAGTGAACTGCTCAATCTCATGAGCAAACTTGAACAGATGAGGAGCTGCTTCTTATGAATGAGCAAAGAAAGTAATTTCTTGAGATGGAGTCTACCCCTGGTGAAGATGCTGTGAACATCACTGACATGACAACAAAGGATTTAGAATGTTGTATGAACTTAGTTGATAAAGCAGTAGCAGGGTTTGAGAGGATGGATTCCAATTTCGAAAGACATTCTAGTGTGGATAAAATGCTAACAAACAGCATTACTTGCTACAGAGAAACCTTTCATGAAAGGAAGAGTCAATTGATGTGGCAAACTTCATTGTTGTCTTATTTTAAGAAATTGCCATAGCCACCTTAACTTTAGTGAGCACCACCCTGATCAGTCAGCATCCATCCACATCAAGGCAAGACCCTTCACCAGCAAAAAGATGATGACTCACTGAAGGCTCAGGTGATCATTAGTACTTTTTAGCAATAAAGTTGTTTATTTTTTTGTGAGACAAGATCTCATCATTTTGTAGCCCAGGCTGGAGTGCAATCACAGCTCACTGCAGCCACAACATTGCAGGCTCAGGTGATCCTCCCACCTCCGCCTCCTGAGTAGCTGGGACTACAGGCATGCACCACCACTCCTGGCTCTTTTTTTTTTTTTTTTTTTTTTTTTTGCATTTTTTGTAGAGGCAGGGTTTCACCATGTTGCCCAGGCTGGTCTCAAACTCCTAAGCTCAAGCGACCCACCTGCCTTGGCCTCTCAAAGTGCTAGGATTACAGGCATAAGCCATTGCGCCCGGCTCTGCAATGAAGTATTTTTTAATTAAGATATGTACATTGGGTTTTTTAGACATAATGCTATTGCATTCTTAACAGACTAGAGCATAGTGTAAACATAATTTTTATATGCACTGAGAAAAAAAAAAAATTTGTGTGACTCATTTAATTGTGATATTAGCTTTGTTGCAGTGGCCTAGAACCAAACCGGCAATGTTTCCAAGGTATGCCTGTAATCATTTTGGATTCAAATTCCCTTCAAGACTGGGGCAATGTTTCCACTTCATGCTTTGGAGCCTCTTCTCCCCAACTCCTTTTGAGATTTCTCTCAGTTACTTCTCAGATAAGGGACAGTGTGGGCTTCTGGAGACCAACTAAAAGATACAAGGGCCCTTCAGAAAACTCTAGCAGGGTCATCGAGGACAGACAGGGTCAGTGTGCTCCCTGGAGACTCCTAAAACGTACATGCTTTTTGGCCCTGTCCAGAGGTGCTGAGCCTCTCTTTCAGTTTATGAATGAGAACTTGTGACAAGGGACTGAGGCCCCCTGCCTATGAGACTGGGAGAGGTACATTGTCAAATCAGAACATAATGTGATTATGACTTCTGTTCATACAAATAATTATCATGCTTCTTGTCTAACACAAATACATTACCCACAACCTGCCCCCTCCCCACCTGCCCCCATAGAAGCTGTGATGAGAAAGCCTCATTTCACATCACAATGTAGCTTTCCTTCCATTCCAGGTGATGAACAAAATGGGTCCAGTTAGGTGGTCAGGTCTCAGAATCAAGGGAGGCTTCTGTGTAGTGTAGCAGTTAGATTCAAAGACTCTAGAGTCAGACTGCTTGGGTTCAAATCCTACCTCTGCTACTTATTAGTGATATGACCTTGGGTACTTTTCTGTACCTGGAGTTTTCTTTTCTACATAATAGACAAGCTCCTGTCTCATAAGTTTGTTGGGAGATTTAATTAAGTAATGAAAAGAAGGTCTTCAGTAGAGTGCCAGGAAAGTAATAAACCTTATAGAAGCATCAGTATTATGCCATGGCATGATGAGGAAAGATATTATGTACCACTGAAGATAATTATTTTAATTAACCGATTTCTATTTTTTGGTCTGGTGAAAAGGATTGTTCCTCTACATCTTTTCAAATGGACACATGTGGATATTTCTCTGATATTCAATGATCAGTTTCCAAAAGATCAGTTGGAAAATAAAGTAAATATGTCCTATCCAAATTACGTCCTATGAGAAGTACCATTCAGGACCTAGAGCGGCTTTGAAGAGGGGGCTGTCTGTGTTGAATCTTGAAGAATATGTAGAAATCTGTTTACCAGATAGACAGATGGAAGGGCATTCCAGACGAAAGGAACAGCATCTACAAATCTCCGCACCTGGCTAATTTTGTATTTTTAGTAGAGACGGGGTTTCTCCATGTTGGTCAGGCTGGTCTCAAACTCCAGACCACAGGTGATCTGCCTGCCTCGGCCTCTCAAAGTGCTGGGATTACAGGTGTGAGCCACCGTGCCTGGCCTACTTTTGCATTTCTGAGGCAAATCCAACCTAGTCATGATGTCTTTATCTACCTTATAGAAGATCATATTTAGTTTGCTAATATTTTGTTTAGGATTTTTACTTCTATTTTCATGGGTTATATTGGTATAAGCTGTTCTCATCT